ATAACTGAACTCCTTAATGACTTCTTTTGTATTGTCAAATGAGTTCATGAAGTTGTCTACTTGCATGACACCATCCTCTTGTACTTTGAATGCTGAAAATACATTGGATTCAGTAGATAGAGCAGATTGAATGGGTAAGCTGCTAGAACTTGATGCTAAGGCTTCTACAATTGTAGACTCTAGCATTAGTGTTTCATTAATGTCTTCAATGAATACTGTTTTATTATTGTCTCTAATGAATACTACTGTATTAAGTGCAGGTTGAGACAGTGTAGTAGTAGTAGTAGAAGTAGTAGCTGTTTGTCTATGCTTTTTCTTTTGAGCTTCTGTTGTTTTGCTTGTTAGAGGATTTCAGCAGTCTTTTGACATATGTCTGTACTTGTTGTAGTTGTAGCATTTAACTTTATTGTAAGGCTTCGTTTTGCCTTTAGCTACACTTTTGCCTTTCGTTTGTAGGCTGTCTCATTCAGTATCTTGTTTTGTTTGAGAGTACTGAGAATGATACTCAGTATATACATTTTGTAATTTGTGTATCAGCTTAGCTAGTGTCAGAATGTCTTTCTGAGCTGCTGTAACTGTTGGTAGTTGATTATAATAGGTAATCTGCCTGTCTAGCATTGTTACTACCTATCTATACTCACAAGGAGTAGCAAGATTAATTGCTGAGATGTATGTATTGTTATTAGGGGCTTTATTATGTGCAGACAACTGCCTGTAGATTTGTTCAATGTTGTCTAACATCTTATCAAACTGTGATACATACCCTTTTACTGTAAACAATGTGGATATGTCTACAGTATACATTATTGTTGTTTGAACATTGTATTGTTCAGAAAGCACCTTTATGAGACTTCTAACACTTGTATGTGTTATGAAGTTTGTATAAATTGTATCAGTTATTGTTTTTGTTATACAATGATACAAAACGTTGCCTGTACATATACTAGCATCATTGGAGGAAGGGGGATTGTACTCTAGATGGTCTAAGAGCATCATGGTAGTGAGTGTACTGTGTATGTACAATTGCCATATCTTGTATCCCTTTACACTAGCCAACTTTTCTGTTCCCTCAAAGAACTTTGTAATGTCAGAGTCCTTCATTGTAGTGTTAACAAAGGTATACATCATAGACAACATTGTAATGAGTTTGGGGGGAGAGGGAGGTCTTAGGCTTGGTGGTCTGGTAGGAGGCAAAGGTGTTCTGTGAGAGCAAGTGTGTAGAGGCATTCAATGGGCACTAAGGCTCATAACCTTTTGACTAGCATAGTGGGAGTGCCCCAAGTACTCTCTCTTATTAAGACATCAAGCAAGTATCTACCTTATATATTATATAGTGAAGTCCAATAATCCAAGACATTCTAAGAGCAGTAATTCTACATAAGGCAATTTGGGGATTTCCTAATCCAGAGCACAATCTAATATTAGGAAATCCCCAAATTGCCTTATGTAGAATTACTGCTCTTGGAATGTCTTGGATTATTGGACTTCACTATGTAATATATAAGGTAGATACTTGCTTGATGTCTCAATAAGAGAGAGTACTTGGGGCACTCCTACTATGCTAGTCAAAATTCAGAAATGATATGCCCATTACAAAGTGTCCCAATTGCTGTTGCCGACAGTAGTGTTGCTGCGTTTCCCGAGCCGATCTGGGTGTTCAATGAGGGGATCAAATCGAGACTCAGAAGCCCTATGGTCTGTGAAGCCTCAAAGGCACGAACGGATCTGATTGTCTGTGACTGGAGAAACATAAAGCGAGTTGTAGTCAGGGCTTACTTCAGTACCATGCTTAGAACCACTTGAACTTAGCATTGTATTGTCAGTGGCCAGAGAAACTTAGTCAACAATCCGAGCAATATTACAAGCTGTTGCGCTTCAATAAATGCCAATTTGGAAATGATGTATCGCAAATGACAACCTTTCGGTTGACAAGGGACGGATGCTACAAACGGCAAGCGAGCTTTCCCTGCATAGAAGGAGGGTAAGTTATATTGACCAAGAAAAGCTGTCCATCAATGTTTGCTTGCAGTTGGCAAGGAAAATATATGCCTATACAGTACTAGCCCAAACCGAAGCTGAAGCATGTTCCAGGCCTAAAATACCATCTGAGATACGCGAATGTTAACTTTAGCTGAGTCGCCCGCCTCGCGGATACGCAAGAGGAGTCGATTACAGAGGATGCTGTGCAAAATACTCTGTGGTCTTTAGATCCATTTTCAGCCTATAACAACTAATATGTAGGTGTGATAAACTTACACAAGGAAAATGCAGTCCAGGGTATCCTAAGGCGAGTCCAGAATTAGGATACATATTATTGAGTTGATGAACAAGGAGACGAACGTACATCTTCGAATCGAAGTGCAAGAAGATTTACAGTCGAACTCACTTATATCATTTCAAATGACTTGGTCATTGATCTTTGCATCTCTTGACAATGGACTCACGAAGGATAACCAGGTAGTACATTGCCCCTAAACAATCACAATCAGCAAACGTTTGGGATTGTTTGTTGTCAAGACACAAACCATCTGTCATCATCCTTTTCATGATCACATTTGCAGGCCCGTTGTTCCTATCTTCTTGGACTCAGCGTTACCGTATTTACACTCCACCCATAAAATTCTCACTTACACTTAAAGTAATTCCCGGCTAACAGGAGAGTTAAAGCAGCTTATCGAAAAACGAAAACAATAAGCATTATGCGAGAGACACTCCTATCGAGTTCACCGACCTGTCTCGCAGCAAATTAGAATGGCTACTGCTGCCCACTCTATTCGACTTGTAGTTATCACGAAACATCCGGTGTCCAAGAGACGGATCGGTGAAGCTGTAATAGTAGGTTAATAAAATGCTTCTAAATCGAACTAGCACAAGGGCCTCACCGCTGGCTGAGGAAAGGAATAACTTTGTTATAGAATAAACTCCTGCCACTGCACACTTGAGAGAATAGTTATTAGGAGAAAGAATATCGCGCGAGGATGGCCTTACTGCAAAAATCATAGACAAGAAAATCAACATCGATCGTTTGCGTTCCCAAATCGCGTATACCCTAATAAGGAGGGTTGCTGGCGCTGAGTTAGCGTTACCACGCATTAAATAGTTACAAATTCGGTTCCAACTGACCTTCGGCAAAAAGATAGCATGAGCATGCCAAGTCTAACATTGCAGTTAATAAACTTCAATGTATCAATAAATAACTTCGAACTTACAGCTGGTTGCGTATAACAGTCTCGTACAGTCAACGGTGATGACGAGCACTATACATATGTGAGCTATTTCCGGAAAATATAATAAGCCCCCAATTGCCAAACTGCGTACTGTGTACTGAGATTGCAGCCGTAACCAACGGCAAGTAGCGATTGAGGAAGAAGAGGATTTTCGGCAGCGAAAGCTTTGACGGCAAAATGGTGTTTATCTATGGGAACAGTTAGAATGAGACGATTGCAAATATGCGGTTGTTCGAAATTACTTCTGCATCAATAGTTATCAAATGCTCGTATACCTTACAATACATTTAGTCAGGCGGAATATCAGCGGGGAAGAAAAGACGCTTACTACGAAACATAGAGTAGAAACTAAATATACGTATGCGTGAGTCTAGAAGCTTGTCATGGACACATTCTCAAAAACTAACCGAGGGTATACTGGTTGTCGTCACGAACAGTTGAAAAGCCAGTTCAGTATATTATTTTAAAAAAGGTAAAACACGTACACGCCACAACCAGACTTCTTGAGCCTTCTTATCCAAAAATTGAACGACATCCATACTCCTTTTGCGAGTCGAAGAACAGAATCGCAGGTGAAGAGAGAGTCAAGAGTAAATGTTGAATGGACTATAAGATCTAGCGAGTGTAACGCGCACTTAAAGAATAACGGCTACACCTGGGAGGACAGAAGCCATCATTTGGGTTCGTTAGGGTGGCTCACTTAAGTAAAAACCCCTTTTCTAATTTAATATATCGTGACATTTTCTCTTTCTCTCTCCAAAGTGGGATGAAACAAGAGTCGTCATCGCGAGTCGGTCTTCGTCTGTAAAGTGCATGATTCGATCAAACGCAGCTCAACAGCCCGGATCAGTGTGATTTGAAATTGTAAAAGTGAAAAATGCACAGATCAATCTGGGTCAGACAGGGCACCAGGATGGATAAAATCGAGTGTACACTGCAGGTTCAGTGCAGGAGACGTAACAGGCAGTGATCTGCAAAGGCAAAGACGATCATGTGATGGCCAATGATCTTCCACACATTTTAATTTTCTACCGTTTGGCAGCTCCCGCAACGGCTCTGCTCGCCATCTCCATCTTTTATGCTCCTGAGATAATAGTTCCAATGATGCGTCTCGCCTCCTTTTCATGGGCGATACCAGCTTGCCGGCACTTTGCCACTGTTGCAAGCTCAGGACGCCCTCATGTTCCTCAAACAGTGATTGAGAAGGTCGTCCAGAAATATGCTGTAGGTCTGCCTCCTGGAAAGGTTGTCAGAGCAGGCGACTATGTAATGATTAAACCGGAACATGTAATGACACACGATAATACTGGTCCCGTTATATCGAAGTACGTATTCATTAATTGATGCATTACTTGTTGCTGACTGCACTTGCAGATTCAACTCAATTGGCGCAACACGAATACACGACCCAAAGCAGCCAGTCTTCACTCTCGACCATGATGTACAGAACAAGTCGTCCAAGAATTTGGCAAAATATGCGTCAATAGAAGCATTTGCACGAAAGCATGGTTTGGATTTCTATCCCGCCGGACGGGGTATCGGACATCAAGTTCTTGTTGAAGAAAGCTATGCGTTCCCGCAAACTCTGACAGTTGCAAGTGACAGCCACAGCAATATGTATGGTGGTGTTGGTTGCGTTGGGACACCGATTGTTCGAACTGATGCCGCCGCCATCTGGGCAACAGGAAAAACATGGTGGCAGGTGCCTCGAATGGTCAAAGTCGAACTACGCGGATCACTCTCTCCTGGTGTTACAGGGAAAGACGTGATCGTTGCACTCTGCGGATCATTCAACAAGGATGAGGTGCTAAATGCCGCAATCGAGTTCTCCGGCGATGGTATTTCTTGCCTCTCTGTCGATGACAGATTAACAATCTCAAACATGACAACGGAATGGGGAGCGCTTGTAGGAGCCTTCCCTGTTGATGACACTTTGTTTGATTGGTACGATAGCGCCTTGAAGAAACTGGAACTCCGTACTTTCGCGTCTGGGCTATCCTCGTCTATCCCGGCACCTCCTGATCATCCACGTCTAAACAGACGGAGGCTAGACTCTCTAAAAGCGGCACCACTTCGTTCCGACCCTGGCGCTTCGTATTCGTCGCACTTAGTCTTTGATCTCTCGACTCTCGTTCCTCACGTCTCAGGTCCGAACACGGTAAAAGTTTCTACACCCTTACCAGATCTTGAATCAAAACGAATAGGCATCCAGAAGGCATACTTAGTCAGCTGCACGAACTCGCGTGCTTCTGACATTGCCGCGGCTGCCGAAGTGCTGAAAGGGCATAAGGTAGCGCCCGGAGTTGACTTCTACATTGCCGCGGCGAGTTCTGTGGTGCAACAGGAATCAGAAAAGCAAGGAGACTGGGATGCCCTTGTCTCTGCAGGCGCCAAAGTCCTTCCTGCTGGTTGTGGTCCATGTATAGGTTTGGGTACCGGACTTCTAGAAGAAGGCCAAGTTGGCATCAGTGCTACGAATAGAAATTACAAGGGACGCATGGGCCATCCGAAGGCATTGGCTTACCTAGCTAGTCCCGCCGTTGTGGCAGCAAGCGCAGCAAAGGGCTTCATCTGCGGACCGGATTCACTTGACCCATCTCGTCTTCCGCCCAGTGGTGCGCCGACCTTCTCAATTGTGGACGTACCTGAGTCGTCGGGCAAAGCTGCCAGCTCAGATTCGGCCAACGAACCTCTTCTTCCAGGCTTCCCTTCCAAGTTCTCGGGACCCTTAGTTTTCGCTCCGCAAGACAACCTGAACACCGACGGGATCTATCCTGGTAAGTATACTTACGAAGACGATATCACACTCGAGCGTCAAGCCCAAGTCGTCATGGAGAACTACGACCCATCTTTTGCCAGTACTGTATCAAGTCTTCTCAAAAACTGCGCTCTGGCCGAGGATAAGGAGACCGAGACCAAGAAAGGCGTCGTGCTTATTTCTGGGTACAACTTCGGAACAGGCTCCTCTCGCGAGCAAGCCGCAACTGCGCTCAAAGCAGCGGGTATCCCACTCGTCGTCGCCGGCTCGTTCGGCGACATTTTCAAACGCAATGCCATCAACAACGGACTCGTATGTATGGAATGTCCCATGCTCGTTGCTGATCTCACGCGCGAATTCGCAAAGGACGCGAAGCGTGGTACGGGAGGAATAAATGGAGAGATGACCGTTGTTCCGAAGTTTGAGATTGAGGTTGATATGGCGAGTGGGAAAGTCATCGTTACGAGGAGCGATGGGTCGACGAAGACGTATAATGTTCGCCCGGTTGGCCCGAGTGTACAAGAACTGTGGTTGTGTGGTGGGTTGGAAGGATATGTCCTCAAATCTATCAAGGAGAGTCCCTAGACTCAGGGTGCGGTACTTATCCAACACCCGGAATATCTAACGGAAAAAGTAAACATTTTTGTATATTTAATGGATTCCCTTCCATCCAAGGTCTATCCTGTGAGTGAGGATGCACAAATGTTATTGCAAGTTTGATAATAGTACATGATGCTACAAAGTCATACTCCAAGACTATGTCATAGATCCGTATTGAAAGACAGAAATAAAGATTTGCTTTGCCAATTCTCTTAGAAAAGTGGGCTCCAGTTACTCCTTTCTCCAGAGGGTGTATTTTCAGGTTCCCCCACAGCTTCAGGCCCCCGGCCAAACCTCTCCGTTAAGACTGTTAACTCCGAGCGGAAATCATCCATCCCGATGTATGCTCCGCACATTCGGCGCTTGCCGTCAAATGCTGAGCGACCATGTAGGACGCGATGGTTGTCGACGACTGAATCGCGAACAAATATTCGTTAATAAACGATTTCCACACTCAAGAAAGGAAACAGGGATTGTACGTACTAACGGCGGTTCCAGGACTCAATTGCACCCAATATTCCGAGTCCGGACTCTTTAGCGTCTGGTCCCACAATCTAAGAGCCTCATACCATCGCTCCAACTCCTCGGAACTGACCCCACGCATTGCACTGCGATCGTCATTGTTATACCTCACCTGATAGAGCTTACCTGTCTGGGGGTCGAGGTTAAGAATCGGGTACCCAGCAGGAGGTGTAGGGCGGTAGAACTCCCCCGGTTCACCTGCAGCGTGAGTTGGGACTCGTACTGAGGTGAGAGTGTGGTACGCTTCGGGATGGAGCTCCTTTAGGATCGCGGCGACGTAGAAGCCGTCGACTAGAAGCGTCTCGCCACCGTGCCCGTCTGTGTGTGAGAGGAGATGGAAAAGCTGGAGACCGCATGGGTCGGTCTGGCAATACGAAAAACGGATTCTGTAAATGATCATGAAGTAAGGAGTAATTTATTTCACGTACGAAATATGTCGTGTCGGTGTGTGCCCCAAGGGCCAAAGTCGTGTACGCGGTATCACCCTTTGCTAGATTGGACGTGAAGTCCCAGAACGTACCATCTACAGAATAGGAAGAAAACAGTGAGGAACGTTAATATAATTCGTCACTATATTACACGTTTTACATTGTGTCTGCCGGATATTCGCAATACGACGAGTAAGTTGCTCCGTCGCCTCAGGTGTTGCTTCCACGCCTTGTACAAAGCAGAAACCAAAGGTGTCCTGTTTTCCAAAAGTGCGATTAAGCATATAGCTACTCGCACCCCGAAACTGAATACTAACGTACAATTTTCTTCAGTAATTTCCATAAACCGAAATCATCGTTCATGACATTGTCATGCGCAACTGACGGCGGGTCTTGCACGATTTTTGCTCCCCAAAGAACCTTTCTGATCCAGGGCATCATTGAGTAACCACACACACAAACTGACCTCTACGACACATACTCGTTATACTGAACCGGAGGCTCCTCGAATGATTGAAGTGGAACAGGTTCCGGCGAATGCCATTTTAGCCAATTCCAAGGATAGATGGATATATGCGGTTTTGTTGACGACGAGTAACCTAAATTGCGGTCAGGTAATGCATTACAATATGGAAAGATAATGCGTACATGTTACTTTCAGGCCCTCCGCGGTTGCTTCAGCCTTCGACGGTTGAATATCTGGAGGTATCTGAGGTAATAACGCTTTCGTCAAGATTACGGATGAACAAGTCTAGTCGCAATTACCCACGTCAAACGTATTTACTAATCTTTGTTTTGTAGTCTGGTGAAAGCATTCCGGACATCGACAATGATCTCTGAGCCAGAAGTTCAGGCTAGGGACATATGGAATAATAATACGTCAGAAGCGACTCAACCACAAGATTAGGATGCAGAACGCACTATCGAGACCAAGTTAATGGATCCCAGCCAACATAAACCTTCCTCTCGTCCACCCGTACGAGTGGTAAAGACGAATCACTGGCAGACCGAGGCGTCGAATCGGCCGTTTTGCTCGTTTCAGGACTCGTGCTCTTTGGAGGAACATCCGAAAAGTACTGTCCCGGATCCGGTTTGACTGACGTCGCAGTCGACGCGGGCCGTACATATTTCTCTGTTTTTCCGATGATGTTCGAGGTCCTTGAATAATTTACGAAATTCCGAGCCAGCAGTGTGTTTGCACACTAAGACATGGTATATTCAGCTGACGAGGTCAGCAAAGGATAGGAATCGTATATGTACCTTAACCCCGATAGTACTTGTGTCTGCACGCAAGCAACATTTTGGAAGAGATATCGCTCTTTTCCCAATTTGCCTGGCAAGCATTTTGAATGACGGGGGTTGTGGTCAGTGGTCAATGGGAATTGTCAGTACCTGTGATCGGCGCGGCAATCCAATAATTTTTATTAAATTATTCATTTCTTCAAAGCTCTTTCAATTTGATGAGACTTGATTACCTCTCCACAGTATTTGTCCCGTTGAAATCACTAGCAGAGCACAAACATCGAGATGCCAGCTCAAGAACGTTGTTCCAGAAAGAGTAAAGGAATACATATACATTTTGCAAGAATAGGAAGCAATGTAACCCGTAAGGACATTCTAAGCACGTTAAGCAAGCTAATAAAATCAATGAGATCCTCCAAAAATTGTCGCGACCTCTTTTCAACAAATATATTCTGCCGAGAAGCATCTACTGCTTGGCATCTGGACGCAAAGAGCGGACGGTCTTGCCTGTAATAATGTGTAAGAAAATCGTCACGGAACCGCATATATTAGACATACCAGCGACCCAGATCTCTTGTTCGTCAATATCCTTGAGCTCCTTCGCAAGGTCCTCACGGTAGGTCTTACGGCCGTTGAACTCCAATGCGTTCTTCGTCTCCGTGCCATTTTTTACACTTTGGTAGAGCTTCTCGAATACAGGCGTGTTAGCAGCTTCGAAGACGGGTGCCCAGTCAAGTGCACCACGGCGAGCGGTCGTCGAGCAAGCGTTGTACATGTAATCCATGCCCTTCTCGCCGATCAAAGGGAAGAGGGACTGAGTTGCCTCTTCAACAGTCTCGTTGAAAGCTTCCGACGGAGAGTGGCCGTTGGCGCGAAGGACCTTGTACTGAGCAAGGAACATGCCCTCTATAAAACAATTAATATCCGAGATCATGCGATAGAAATAATAGGATAACATACGGATACCACCCATGAGGACACCACGTTCGCCGTAAAGATCAGAGTACACCTCCTTCTCGAAGGTTGTCTCGTACATGTAACCAGAGCCAATAGCAACACCGATTGCAGTAGCCTTCTCGAGTGCCTTTCCAGTAACGTCCTGGAAGACAGCAATCGACGAGTTGATACCACGCCCTTCTTTAAAGAGTGTGCGGACGGTACGTCCAGAGCCTTTGGGCGCGACGAGGATGACATCGACATCCTTAGGTGGTACGACATGGGTCAAATCCTTGTACACGACAGAGAAACCATGTGAGAAGTACAACGTCTTGCCCTTGGTGATGAGCGGCGCAAGCTTCGGCCAAGTTTGACTTTGAGCAGCATCAGACAGAAGGTTCATGATAATCGTTCCACGGTTAATGGCCTCCTCAATCGGGAAGAGGGTCTCGCCTGGGACCCAACCATCTTCGATAGCCTGTTTCCAACTCTCACCGTCTTTGCGAACACCGACAATGACGTTTAGTCCATTGTCACGCGCGTTGAGACCTTGGCCATGTCCTTGAGAGCCGTACCCGATAAGCGCCAGCGTGTCGTTCTTGAAGTATTCCTGGAGCTTGGGGAGCGGCCAATCGGAGCGCTCGTACACCTTTTCCTCAACACCAGCAAAGCTGAGCGTTTTCACGCCTCGCATCTAGTTCCAAACATACAACCAACACAAAGAAAATGAGAAGATATGGTTAAATTAGAAATACAAAAAAAATACCTGAACAGCAGACGCAGTTTTCTGCACGGATTTTGCAGAACGTGCGATAGCAGAAAATGACCTAGCAGCATTGCGGGAAGCAGCAAATGCACTACGAGGTGCGCTGCGTGCAGCACGAGCAATGTTTGATGCAGAGCGAGACGCGATGGAGGCCATGACTACGAGAGGTCGCGGAAGAGAAAGGACGAGCTGGCCAATTTACAAACCGAGTCAACAAGAAGAAAAAAATATAGCACCAACCAGAAATACTGGCATCGGCCGAAATCTGAGTTACATAATTGGAAATCGCGTCGATCCTCTCTGTCAATGCGGCGTTAGTCAATTGTTTGAGACGGTTCATTGCCAAACAACCAAGTACAGCACATCAGGGAAACACTAAAACAAGGCAGAAACGCATCCAGAAGCCCGACGATTTTATTCAGAGTGTATTCGCAGCCAATCCCGTGGATAGCTTCCGAGTTTTCCAATAAATTCCTAGGTTGCAGAATGGGATTCTGCTTCCTGTCCTGTGAACCCATTTGTCTTGATTGATAAGCCTACGGATGCCGCATCCGACTGCTCACCAATGACTTTCTGCTCAAGTTTCTGCCTCTGTTGGTTACTTGGCCCGTGACTATTCGAGTCTAAGATACAACAGCCGAGTGCTGCATCAGTGTATAATCCCTGTCATCCGCTATCATGGCGTTTGGTACTCCCAAACGTATTGACGTCAAATACGATGCAGAAACTGTCGGGAATATGCTCTCACTGCTTAAAGCTTCACCATTTCCTGACAGGGCGCCAATCGACGCAGACACTCCTTGGGAGCTCGGCATTGAATACGAGTATCTCAAGAAACTCAGGGAGACATTCTCGACTCAATGGCGCTGGGAATCGCTTGAAAGGAAAATCGCAAAATTTGATAACTGTTTGGTTCATTACGAGAAAGATGACGATGTTCTGGACTTGCATTTCGTTCACGCGAAGAGTTCTAGGTCTGATGCGATTCCTCTTATACTTCTGCACGGTTGGCCGGGTGAGTGGCATTAATTGTTCTTCATTGAATGTAGCCCTTCTGCTAAATTCATCTCAAGGAACTTTCTTTGACTTTCACAAAGTCATCGAACCATTGACCAACCCACCAAGGTCCGACCTCCCAGCGTGAGTTACCCCATTTTCATTGCATACTTATAATCTGAAGAAGATCGGCAACAGATTCCACGTAGTAGTGCCATCACTACCCGGATACTTCCTCTCAACGCTCCCAAGACGCGATGGTTGGAGCCTGGTTAATAACGCTCACGTCTTCAACGGCCTTATGACTTCCGTTCTCGGGTACAAAAAGTATGTTGGACAAGGCGGAGACTGGGTACGTTCCAAGTCCCCACTCGACCTGTATGTAGACGCTCTAAACTTTCGAATTCTATGTATAAAGGGATCTTTTATTTTACGCGTCATGGCTTGCCTCTTCCCAGACTCCGTCACCCTTATGCACTTCAACATGTTCAGGACAACACCCGTGCCAAATAGGGACCCGTCTACTTTCTCTGCAGTAGAGAAGCGCATTGTGGCGCGAGGAGAACAGTTTGCCGCTACTGGTCGAGGTTATAATATAATTCAGTCTACCAAAGTAACGCGCAACTGATCCTCCTATTCACTTATAACTTTCTCTTATCTAAATTGACGTTGCATTTATAGCCATTCACTATCGGAATAGCCATCGCATCTTCACCCCTGGCACTCCTAGGGTATATAGGGGAGAAGGTCTACGGATGGTCCGACCCCGAGAGAGTTGATGTCCAAGATATACTAGATACTGTTGCTCTATACTCCTTGAGCAAGTGCTTCCCGACCTCTGTAATGATTTACAATCAGGTGCGTACTCTCTAGTCGTAAATGAAGGCGCTAAGCTGATATTAATATTGAATCCTTTGCTTAACAATGTACGGGTTGCTCACAAAGGCGAAAGAGCGTGATGAGCTCATGGCAGAGGCTAAAGGAAATAAATGGCTCCTCAAGAATAAGTTCGGTTTCTCTGCCTTTGTGAGTACTATGCAATCATTCAGTCAAGTAATTTGCAACCCATCAACTCCATATTTCTCGCAAGCCATATGAGTCAGGTGCTGCGCCCAGATGTGACATCGAGCCACACGGTCCGTTGGTCTATTACAAAGGTGAGCGAGGCATTAGTCTAGGCCCAGGCACTGTTGTCTACTGTTGTCTGAGTTAAGTTGATATACGCGATATGCGTCGGCAGAGCATACAAGTAGTGGACATTTCCCTGCTCTCGACAGTCCGAATGAGTTTGTGGATGATTTGAGAGAGTTCTTTGGAGAGCATTGGGTTCGTGCGTGAAGGCTAAACGTTTGATGAAGATCGAGAGTTTACCTGGACCATTGGTGTGGAGGAATTCCTGGAAGAGAAAGAACGAGCCGATTTCAAGGGAAAGTCAACAAGAAAAATGTACAGTAGCACCAGTAAGTAAGTTATATGCATTGGCCGAAATTAGGTTACGTAAATGGAAATCGCGTCGATCGTCCGTCTTTTGAGTTTCAAATTCAATGATTCTTGCAGACGACTGCAAGCTCTGATATTGAAACGCATCAGATACTGAATTACATATCTGTACATGTCCCGATAAGCCAACAGACACCGCATCAAACCACTCGCTATCAGTATCCGCATCTGCCTCTGCTAGTGACTCAGCCTGCGAATGTTCCAGTCCAAGATAAAAAGCAGAGCACTATAATTCTGTATAGTCTCAGAACTCTGCTACGCTATGGCTTTCGGTACCCCCAAACTTATTGATGTCAAATACGATGCGGAAACCGTCCAGGACATGCTCTCACTGCTCAAGGCTGCGCCATTTCCCGAAAGAGCGCCAATCGACGCAGATACTCCTTGGAAGCTCGGCATTGAATACGATTATCTCAAGAAACTCAGAGAGACTTTCTTGACGCAATGGAGCTGGAAATCGCTTGAAAGGAGAACCGCGAAATTTGATAATTACTTGGTTCATTATGAGAACGAGGGCGACGTTCTGGACTTGCACTTTGTACACGCAAAGAGCTCTAGGCCTGACGCGATCCCTCTTATACTTCTGCATGGTTGGCCAGGTAAGAAGTATTTATTCTCAAGTGAATTTGGCCTATCGTTATTTAATTCATTATTAGGAACTTTCTTCGATTTCCACAAGGTCATTGAGCCATTGACTAGTCCACCGAGTTCTGGCCTTCCAGCGTAGGTTGTCTTATTTTTACTACCTACTCTTTATTCAAAGAGTGATTACTGTAGATTTCACGTAGTGGTACCATCGCTACCTGGGTACTTCCTTTCGACACTCCCAAGGCGTGACGGATGGAGCCTCGCGGATACCGCTCGGGTCTTTGATGACCTCATGACTTCCGTCCTCGGATACACGAAATATGTTGGACAAGGTGGAGATTGGCTATACTTTAACTTGAATCCCAATTAGACCGTGATGACCAAATTCTTGGAATTCTATGACAGGGATCTTACATTTTACGCTTAATGGGATGCCTCTTTCCAGACTCAGTCTCCCTTATGCACTTCAACATGTTCAGAACATCACCTATGCCAAACAGGAAGCCATCCACCTTCTCTGAAGTGGAGAAGCGCCTTGTGGCACGAAGAGACGAGTTTGCGACCACTGGTAGAGGATACAAACAACTTCAAGTTCAAGCTACCAAAGTGAAAACACTATCCCACTTCATACTCCTTTGCTTTTTTGAAGCGCAATCCTATGTTTTGCCATTCACAATCGGTATAGCTATCGCGTCATCACCACTCGCACTCCTTGCATATATAGGCGAGAAGATGTATGGATGGTCCGATCCTGAAAGACTCGACATTCAAGACGTTCTGGATACAGTTGCTCTCTACTTCTTGAGCAACTGCTTCCCGAGCTCTGTGATCATTTACAATCAGGTTCGTTCCAGTCTTTCCAGTTCAGAATGCGCAGAACTGTGTGCTTAATCTACGGATATGTTGTTTGCACCCAAAGGCCAAGGAGCATGATGAGCTCGTCGCAGAAGCCAAAGGAAACAAGTGGCTTCTCAAGAACAAGTTCGGTTTCTCTGCCTTCGTGAGTATACTACACGATTAATTCCAGTCATTCCCACCCCTTAACTTACTATTTCTCGAAAGCCATACGAGATAAGTGCATCTCCAAGATGTGATATGGGGTTGTACGGCCCATTGGTTTACTACAAAGGTGATTGTCACGTTCATAACAATCCTTGAGCGAGTGTCTAACCCGATTTGATATGCATGATATGCATCACCATAGCATGCAAATGGCGGGCATTTCCCTGCTCTCGATAGTCCCATTGAGTTTGTGGACGATATGAGAGAGTTTGTCGGAGAGCATTGGATGCGAACATGAAGACCGAACGCTTCGTGCAGAGCGATGGGCAGGAGAAGCAATAAGTACAAGAAATGTCATGGAAAAGAAAGAACGAGCTGGCCAATTTACAAGCCGAGTTAGCTAGAGTAACGTAGTCAAAACTGAAAAGCGTCACGACTCATAAGGCATTTATAGTTTAATAAATTTATAAAGCTAACAATGCATACTTTTTCCCCAGAGACAAACAGCTTTCTTTTCAGGATTTAATGTCGCAATACATGCATCCCATCATGCATTGATAAATTACTTGTCTCGCATTGTGCGTCATGACATTCAACTACTGCTAGTAGTAGTACTAGTTCTACGGATGCTTTGGCACGAGCACCGGCATCAGCCGAAATCTTGTTACGTAAACTGGAATCCCGCGTCAGACCGTCTTTTAGAGTGACCATAACCAGGTTATTGTCGTACGTACAACTTACCGCAACACTTCAGAAACTGAATAACCTATCTGCCTTGATAATTCAACGGAAATTGCATCAAACTATCCGCTAACAGCATACGCTTCCGGTTTTACTTGTGACTCAGCCTGTGAATATTCGAGTCCAAGATAAAGGGCAGAGCACCGTAATACGTATAATCTCTGCCTTCCGCTATCATGGCTTTCGGTACTCCCAAACGTATCGACATCAGATACGGTGCAGAAATAGTACAGAACATGCTTTCCTTGCTTGAGTCTGCACCATTTCCTGACAGGGCGCCAATCGACGCAGACACTCCTTGGAAGCTCGGCATTGAATACGAGTACCTCAAAAACCTCAGAGAGACGCTCTTGACCCAGTGGAGCTGGGAATCCCTCGAAAGCGAAATCGAAAAATTCGATAATTATCTGGTTCACTACGAGGATGAAGGCGATGTTCTGGACTTGCATTTTGTACACGTGAGGAGCTCAAGGTCGGATGCGATACCTCTTATACTTCTGCATGGTTGGCCAGGTAGGTAGTATGTGGTCATTCTTGAGTGAATCCGACCTGATTGTGTGATTGACCTTAAGGGACCTTCTTCGACTTCCACAAGGTCATTGAGCCATTGACCAATCCGCCAAGTTCGCACCTCCCGGCGTGAGTTGCACTTTTCTACCGCCTAATCTCAATTCAAAGATCTACAACAGATTTCATATAGTGATACCATCGCTACCTGGGTACTTCCTTTCGACACTCCCAAGGCGTGACGGATGGGGCCTTGCTGACACCGCTCGTGTCTTTAACGGCCTCATGACTTCCGTTCTCGGGTATACGAAATATGTTGGGCAAGGTGGAGATTGGGTATACTTTAAATCTGTTATGAATTATGCATAACGGCCTAATTCTTGGAATTTATGACAGGGATCTTACATTTTACGTGTGATGGGATGCCTCTTTCCGGACTCCGTCTCCCTTATGCACTTCAATATGTTCAGGACAGTACCCGTGCAAAATAGAGACCAATCCACCCTCTCTGAAGTAGAGAAGCGAATCGTAGCGCGAGGAGACGAGTTTGCGATCACCGGTAGAGGATATAACCAGATTCAAGCGACCAAAGTAATGCAAATTTTCTTTTAGATCTTCCCTTTTTTAAGCAGCTATCGCATTTTAGCCATTCACCATCGGAATTGCGATCGCGTCTTCGCCTCTCGCACTTCTAGCGTATATAGGAGAAAAGTTCTATGGATGGTCCGATCCTGAACGACTTGATGGTCAAGACGTGCTGGATACTGTCGCTCTGTACTTCTTGAGCAAGTGCTTTCCTACATCGGTACTCATATACAATCAGGTCCGCTCTCCATACTTCAATTTTTTAGCCTCGGGCAGACGCCGAGCTAATATTGAATGCTTAACCTACAATTCTATTTTGTAACTTTTAAAGGCCAAAGATCGCGCAGAACTCGTCGAAGCAGCCAAAGGAAACAAGTGGCTCCTCAAAAACAAGTTTGGTGTCTCTGCCTTCGTAAGTGCTAGTAATACAACACCATTCGGTCTGGTCATTTTCCAACTCTTAACTCCCTATTTCCCGCAAGCCGTACGAGATAGGTGTTTCCCCTAGGCATGACATTGAGCCATACGGCCCACTCGTTTACTACAAAGGTAAGCACCATTATTATGCAAAATGCACAAACTAATGTCTGGTTTAATCTCATCTCTGCCGCATTCGTCGGCAGAGCATACAAATGGCGGACATTTTCCCGCTCTCGACAGTCCGACTGAATTCGTGGATGATCTGAGAGAGTTTGTCGGAGAGCATTGGGTCCGTGCATGAAATTTTGGCGTTTGATGCAGCATGAGAGACGAGGGAGGTCATTAGTACGAAGGAGGTCGTGTAAGAGAAAGAATGGGCTAGCCAATGTAATAGCCGGGTGAATAATTCGAACAAAGGGAATCATCGCATCATTTATATACCTGTTCAAATCTAAGTTACGTAAATTGAAATTGCGACGATCCTTGACCCGCTCATCTTTGGATTCCTGAAGATGACCAGGGTCATGGTCGCGCAAGCGACGGCTTCCGCTTGTGACTCGGTCTGTGAATATTAAGTGATTCAAAGCCTAAGACAAGACAACAAAGAAAGCAACATAATACCGTCTACCTCCACGCCATGGCTTTCGGTACTCCCAGAAGTATCGACGTCAAATACGACGCAGATACAGTCCAGAACATGCTCTCACTGCTCGAGGCTTCTCCATTCCCTGATAAAGCACCAATCGACTCGGATGCTCCTTGGAAGCTCGGTATTGAATATGAATATCTCAAGGAACTCAGAGAGACTTTCTTGACCCAATGGAGTTGGGAATCACTTGAAACAAGGATCGCAAAATTCGATAACTATTTGGTTCACTATGAGAATGAAGGTGATGTTCTGGACCTGCATTTTGTACACGTAAAGAGTCCTAGGTCAGACGCAATTCCTCTTTTGCTTCTGCACGGTTGGCCGGGTAAGTGGTAATTATTCTCGAGCAACTTAATCCTACTATTCAACTGCTCTCAAGGAACTTTCTTTGACTTTCATAAAGTCATCGGACCGTTGACCAATCCACCGAGTTCTGACCTTCCAGCGTGAGCTACCTCATTCCCGTTGCGTACTCATTACTCAAAGAATTCTACAATAGATTCCACATAGTGGTGCCATCACTACCTGGCTATTTCCTCTCAACACTCCCAAGGCGTGACGGATGGAACCTCACTGACACCGCTCAAGTGTTCAATGGCCTCATGACGTCTGTCCTTGGGTACACGAAATACATCGGACAAGCAGGAGATTGGGTATATTTTCACTGAGACTTCACCCAGTCCGTTTGTATATGGTCTAATTTTCCGAATTTTTTGAAGGGATCCTGGATCCTACGCGTAATGGGTCGTCTCTTGCCGGACTCGGTCGCCCTCATGCACTTTAACATGTTCGAAACATCGGTCACTCCTAGAGATCCGTATATTTTGTCTGAGGTGGAGAAGCATATCGTGGCACGAAGAGACGAGTTTGCGACTACCGGTAGAGGATACAACATAATTCAAACTACCAAGGTTAAAAAACCCATTTATCCACCTGCTTGTCTGTTTTTATCTCCACGAGTTCCTCTAAATAGCAATTGCATTTATAGCCATTCACCATTGGGATAGCCATTGCGTCTTCACCACTTGCCCTCCTAGCCTATATAGGCGAGAAAATCTATGGATGGTCCGATCCTGAAAGGATTGACGTTCAAGACGTTCTAGATACCGTCGCTTTATACTTCTTGAGCAAGTGCTTCCCAACCTCTGTGGTCATTTATAACCAGGTTCGTTTCCCTTCTCTCTATTCATAAAATGAAGACCCTAAATCGATATTAACTGGGATCTTCAATTTGAAAACACACATCGTTCTTTAAGTCCAACGAGTTTGCTCGGGCGGTCAAAGAAAACAAAGAAAACAAATGGCTTCTCAAGAATAAATTCGGTTTCTCTGCCTTCGTGAGTAGCATCCCGTCATCCAGTCCAATCGTTCTCGCTTTTCTGACCCCTTGGTTATCGCAAGCCATATGAGATAGGTGGGTCGCCTAGATGTGACATAGAGCAGTATGGTCCTTTAATTTATTATAAAGGTGAGTGAGGCATTAGTCCAAGTTCAATCTAATCTACATGACGTGAACCGCCAGAACATACGAGTGGTGGCCATTTTCCCGCTCTTGACAGTCCCAATGAATTTATCGGTGACCTGAGAGAGTTCGTCGAAGCGCATTGGGTCCGCACGTGAAGTTTGAGAAAATGTATAATATATGAAAAAATGGTTGTTAAAAGGAATATATCCTGTGCGAGTCTTCCGCTGGTAGGTAGACACAGTCAATCAGAAGTAAGCCCCTGTGTATGTACGAACGTGCATACGTCTAGCTCAGGGCCGTCATCTGGCTCGACCGAAGTTTCCATTGACTATCTGGGTGTTATCCGAGTGAAGTGTCAGCACAGAAAACGTGTTCCTGACAACAGATTCAGCATCAGCTTTGAAATGCAAATGAAGAACAATCGCCTTGACACACTGGAAAGTGCGTTTGACGCCTGTTCGAAATCTTCAGATAAGTTATTTCGAACACACGACCAGGCAGTCTCTCATATGCGTATTGACCCCAAATCAGCGAAAACGACTGCGGTCTTCTCGTCTCCTATCCTGTCTCCATTCGTCTCCGGTCCCTCTCCTCGGCCGCTCACCACCCCACGTCCGCTCCCTAGCATCTGCATATTCTCTTCGCCGATGCGCTTCTGCAACCTCTCTCGAATGGAACTGGTCACCATATTTGAACGCATCATCGCCGCCACGAATCGTCGACGGCGTCGCACTGCCAGCTAATTCCCGCCGCCTTCGAGCTTTAAGCGCTTCCGCACGCGCTCGTTCGGACGACTCCCGAGTTTCGCGAGCGGCTCGTGCTGGATCCCCGTTGGCTGATATTTGAGGGGCATCCGAGGTACGGCGAGGATACGAGGGTGGTTCGCCCCATGTTCGCCCATAAGCTGAGCTCATACCGGGTGAAGACTGTGAAGACGGAAAACGAGTGGCCAGTTCACGTTCAATCGCTCTTAAGGGATCCGATCGTGATTTATGGCTAAGGTCCCGCGTTCTGGAGCATGTTGTCTCTTAGTTTAAAGTAAGGCAAGCTTAGCGCGAGAGACTAACCGCTCTAAGTCATCCACAGGACCATCGTCGACTTTCTTCTTTTCGGAGTACCAGGGTTTCAAATCTTTTGCACTCGGAGCAAGAGGAATGCCCTTCTCCAGCTCAGCAGCTTCCTTCGTTTTTTCCTTTCCAAGTTTCTGCAGTGCTTTTGATGTGGCGAGTGCAGAGGCGACCATATTCTACATAATCATCATTCATTAATGGTTCAAGTCGACGACCAGAAGTGTGGGGCAGTCCATACATGTTCCAAATCCTCAAACAGATTAATATGCTTCCCGCTTCCTAGGGAAGTCAATGACGACGATGCAGGCGGCGCAAGAGCTTCCCTTCGTGCACTGGAATCCGTAGCCTGGGCCAAAAGTTCGCGTTCACGTTTCTCATCTTCCCTGCGCCTCGACTTCGAATTAGAGGATGAGACACCCGCACGTTCGCGCAGCAGAGTTATTCTGGCCTCTGAATCCTTGATGAATGTGTTGAGCGCTTATATCACGAGTTTGATGAGAACAGAGAACAGAGGGAGACTCACTGCAAGGGTCATCCTCCCCTCCTCCTGCGCCTCCTTTAACCGCGCCTCCTCCTCATCTCGGCGTACCTTCTCGATGTTATCCCTTCGATACGGGTGATAAGACTTGTGATGCGCGATGTTGAGTTTGCCCATGAGTGTTATGAATAAGCTTGAGGAGATTGTGAAAGTAGGAATCTAAATCTAATTCCGTGAGGGCTGTGCATGATTAGTCATTACGCTTCAGCCGCGTCGCTTTCAAGCGGCGTCTCAACTTAATTCCAAATCGAGAAGCGTCGATTGAGGACACATGTTTTACCGAAACTAGGTGACTTCAATTAATTGGCAGGAGCACTTGCAGGACAGTTGGAAAATTTTGGGGTGGCTCGGCAAAGTGGACGTACCTTAATATATACCAAATAGAGATGTAAATCCGTGCAACTCTCTGCAAGTGTCTGCAAGTGCTCGAACCCACTTGTTGGCACTTGCAGACGTGTCGGAGTTTGAAATAAAGAAATGTCTGACTACAACCCAACAAAAATCATGAGTAACGTGACATGGGCATTAAATGTCGATCTCTGCAAGTCCAGCTCTTCAATTTTGAGAGACTTGCATAACTCTTGGCATCTTAACTCTAAATTGCCGAAGCCCTTCTGCAAGTGTCTCTGCCAATTAATTGAAGTCGCCTACTGTGAAACAAAATGTGACAAGGTCTGAATCGAGCCAGGGCAGAAATAATAAATTTCCATAAGTACTTGCACCTACATGTCTTCGATTTAGTCTACTAACTAAAAG